CCACAACATGGAGCCTCCAAGGACGACGCCAGCATCAGCACCCTCGGCCAGGCCGGGGGAAACCCCTGCTGGCCGTACATCCGCAGAGGACGCCTTGGATGAGCAAATCGTACGCGCTATGATTCAGGAGACCAATCACAAAGCAGATGATCAAGAATGTTTAATTGTATTGTCACATTGTCGCGAAGCTCTTCGACCAATCACATCAAATATCATGCAAAAAGATTGGGATCGTCGTCCTGCATTTAACGATGTTCGAATGGGCGACTTCATTGTCATTAAGAATTGGGGTTCTACCAAATGCTTTCACTACGACAACCACTGGCCCAAAGGCAATCACAATACCAAGATTGCCTTGTCCAAGGGACACATATATGGTCCAATCATCCATTTCGGCATCTTCGACAAGTTCTTTGCGGTACAAGTGCCTATTCTCAACTACGGTTTACGATGGGTAAATATCTGGTATAATGACAAAAGCATGCCCCTCAAGGGCGTCGTATTTGCATTACCGATTCGTATCGAAGAACACGCCATCGATCCAACATGGATGGAGACTGTCCTGAAAGGCCCGACATCATGCAGCGAGGAGATACTACAGCACAAGGTTAGCGGCAGCTTACCATACCTTGGAATGCCTAGCATCCATAGACCACGTATTCCGCGTACACCACCAAGAAGGCCCGCTCCACGGACACCTGATCCAGACGAGCTGGTGGCCACACCTGCCGAGGACAACGCTCAGACGGGCGAAATTCCTCGACAGGGTGCAGCATCATCGCATGATCCACTGATCACCGTAATCGTGGACATATCAAATATCGCTCTTACTGCCGATGAGAAAGCTGCGAACGACAACATGAGAGCAGACCTCTCGGCAGACATCCACGCAGAAGAGCAGATTGAGGCAAGCATCCTCGACAATATCATTGATCCGCCATCGAATTTCCTTGACCATCCAGATTGCGACCCCGACGAGGATTCAAGATGGATTAAACAGTCTGATGATTGCCGCGCGTATTGTTGGACATCGGCGTTATTTGTGGATTCGCCTATGATCAAGATGAAGCAGATCATCGAGCTACACAGTGGCGCAGACAGAATCGTAATGGACAAAATTCAGTCACATTTACAATTTGAAATTCGATTTGGATCGAAAGCATGGAATGCGGAGTCATACCAATTGAACTACAATCATACCCACAAGTGGGGACGTGACTTACCTAATTGTGGTGCAGATCATTTCTTCAAAAAGTTGGTACACTACCTCGACCCAGAGACTATCGAGGAGTCGACCACAGGCATCTTTCAATGGATTTCCAAAGTATACCAGAACATCTTGAAAGATAGTATTGCGGAGCTTCCAGATTTCGCCAAAGAGGCCATCCATGAGAACCATCCTGCACTTCAGGCATTGCGTGACCTATTCAAAAAAGTGTACTGTGACATACGGTAATCCAGACTTTCCTGCATGGGAAGAGCTGGTGGACACACCTGCTGCGCCTCGAGAGCAAGGCGCTGAGCAGGATATTCCCCAGGACCCAGGCAGCGTTGCGTCTGCAGCTCCCGATCAGGAAACTATGGTACGTATCATAGCCGAGCAGACGGGACTCAAGCGCGAGGAGGGCGACCAGAGGCTACCTTGCAGGAGCAGGCTCGCCGTCTTCGTGAGGAGAACGTATGCCATGGCGGTGCTGAGGATACCGACAACATCAAGATAGAGTACAAAGGACTGCCAGGGGAAAGGTTGTCTCGGATCGAGATCGAGGGTTTAAGCAGATCGATCGCTTCCAGACCGAACACCGAGATCAATCGTGAGCCGATCGATCAGATCGGTCAGAGCCTCGCTCGCGGTCAGGACACCCGCTGGGGATCCCGCGATCACCTGACTTCGGCTGGGGCCCCCGAGACGATCTTGCATCCCATACCGCTCTGTCAGAATTGCGGTCGAGATCTGTCCCTCGGGATTGTCACAGGTGACGGCGCACTTTGCGATATCTGTTGGCAATACACTGTGGCCGTAGGCGCCACAGGCAAGAGCACCGCCACACAGAGCGATCTCGCGTACCTGCAGAAGTTGACGAACTGGATCAAGACGACGTTGTCTGAGGATCACATCGCGAGATGCATGAAGGATGGCGCGCACGTCATTATGACGGGTGCACGATCGCACGTAGGCAACGAGAAAGATCAGTTGCGGAGGTTGGCCAATGCGTCCAAAAAGAGGTATCAGAAGTGGGTCGAAGCCGGTAGCCCGCCTGCACACGAGTGCAGATTAATGGGCGAATCCGAGGACGACCGACCTCTGTACTACCCATTCGCCAATCTCATATAACGCTTTCTCAACGACCTCAAGTTCCATCATCGGATGACAGGTGCCCGCGTGAATGTCGGCAAGAAGCCCTGGACCGTCGAGGACATGCGCGACGCGTGGGACATCCTTGACGTCAGCATTAGGACAGGACAGGCTGGTCGGAGAAAGTGGTGGCTGAACGAGGGACGCATTGACAGGCAGACGCGGCAGGCGCGCGGACTGGTTACGGTTTCTCTCCCTCGAAGGGACGGAACCCGAGAACAGTTCACCCAGCGCAAGCTTGCCGCGATCGCCAACGAACTGATAGGCCCCCTCGATCCGTCACACACCGACCAGAAGGGGGGTTAGTACAGGGATGAGAACCGATCCCGATACACAATCCCAACAGTCCGATGACGCCATGGAACCGCGGCCGCCGCCGCGCCCGCCGCCGCGCCCTGCTCCTGGCGACGCTGCTGCGTCCAGCGCCTCAGGCGCGGAGGACTGCGCGCCCGCGATGCCGCGCGCCAAGAGAGCGCGTACATCTGATCACGCTGCTTACTGGCGCCACGACCTCGAGGACAGCTACTGGGGTCTTCGATGCTGGAGTTACTACATCAAATGTTGGATCTACATTGCGATCAACAGCGACGAGTACGTGTACATCCAGGATATCACGTACAACGATTGGTTCCGCAACTGGATCCCGAGGACAACTTGGGAAACGTTTACGACAAGCTACGCGACGTACAACGGCCAGAGGGTGTGGGACCGCAGGTTCTACAAGGACGGCGACGCGTAGTGAGTCGGCCGCAAGGCCCACTGCTCAAGAGCAGAACTTCCTTTCATCAAAGTTCGCCTTGAGCGGTGGCTAATATATTCTTTTAGGCCACTTCAATCATTCGCACAAGTGGCCATACACAAACATATATATCTTTTGCGATCACCGAGGCAGCCTCCTAAGGAGCAACGCCAACGGGAGTCGCCAAACAGACTTTTTATACATCCCTTTCCGTGTTCAGCAACACGACATTTGTCTGGCCAGACACTTGCTTTACGCAGATTTGCGTTTCTTTCCAGGATCGCGTTCGTCAACACGATCTTAGCATGCATTTGTTTTTAGGCAGACTTGTGTTTCACTTCAAGATTGTGTTCGTCAACGCGATGTTAGCATGCATATTTTAACAATTTGAACAATATTGCGTCGAGAATAATCTGCGAGCTGGTGGCAACACCTGCCTCGCAAATCTTGCGAGGCAGATTGCATGTTGCCTTCATGCTCAGATCTTCTTTCTCCGCCTACCCTTGTCTCATTCTTCTCCTCCCTCGAGTGCCGAAGCGCTTTTGGGGGGCGCGCCGAGGGGGCGCCAAAGTGCGCCTGGAGAAGAAAGGGGGACTTAGGGTATCTCTTCTTACCTCACTTTGCAGCTGTGGCTTCGCTGATTTTAAGCCCCAGCTGCCTTTCTGACTTAAGGACTAAAGGAGTTCAGAGGTTACGGATTCCTTTCCTCTGTTCCCGAGTCCTGCCCTAACGGGCGGGATTCGGGGCGGGGGGTGTGAATGGAACCCGTGTAATACCCTCATATATATTCCTTATCCTTACCTCTCCCGCACCTGGCCGTTTGGGCCCAGGTGCTGAGTTGGGGCGATCTACCTTGATCGCGTGGGGGGGAAAGATATCCATCTATCCCTCCATCTCTCTACCAACGGATCAGGGGTTCTGTACCCTTGTACTTCAACCCCATACACAGATCCCGCTTGTATCAGAGCCCCATTTGGGGCCCAACAACCCGCGCCCATAGCTACAGCGGCTTCATCCTCTTGCCCTTCCCAATTCTGCCTCCCCAAAGGTTTGAGCGTGTGTTGTTCTTGAACCATTGCAGCTGGTCGTCAGGGGAAGCCCGCGGTGGTCCGGGACCCGCTTCCCTCGGGACCCTCTTCCCTCATGTCGGCGGCGAGCGAGGGGGGGAAGTGAGAAGTGGCGGGCCTTCTCAGAAGGCTCGGAAGTCCGCGGCCTTCTGAGAAGCCCCGCCGCCTTCTGAGAAAGCTTTCTCCTTCTCACTTCCCCCCCTCGCTCGCAGCCAAGTCGAAGCAGTATCCCCGGGCTCCTCTTGGGATACATCCTGGCCAGTTTCCCGAGACGCGCCCAGCCTCGGAGACGGGCACCTTTAGAACAAATGGCGTCGACGATGACGACGGTGCAAGTTTTTTGCAACGTCGTTGCAGCTGGAGTGTGTGCCTGTTTTTCTTTGCGACCCCCCTCCCGTCCTCTGAGTTGGTCGAGGTTTCCTCCGACCGCGATGGAATTGACATTGCAAGCGCAGTGTTGTTGCTCGAAGGGCATAAGGCGATACAGAAATGGTTTCTTTCGGAGGCCCGCGCGGACTTTACTCTTTTGCGCGGCGATCGATCCTCCCCCCTGGCGCAAGGCGCGCCTGGGGCGGCGCCGCCAGGAGAGATGGGTCAAGCGCCGACCCAGGAAACCCGCACGGACCTCCGAAAGCGTATGCCCGTGAAACTGGTTGTTTTTCTATTTGGGCGACGCGAGTACACGGGCTGGCCGCGCCCACTCGCGCGCGCAGGTTGCCCGCGTGAGGTCGCGCACAGGCAGCCTCTCCACGCGGTGTGCCACGCTGGCGGTCCGCGCAAGCCCTCCGCCGTGAGTCGGCCGTGCTCCGTGCAGTCCGCCCCTGTCCCTCCCCCCCAGGAGCGCGGTAGCCTACGGCGAGCTCTGGGCCGCGGCGTGGCGCGCCGCTTCCGGGCTGGTGCGCGGCGGGCTGCGCGCGGGCGGGCACGCGGCCGTCTTCGTGGACGAGGGCGCGGGGCTGGTGACCACCGAGTTGGCGGTCGTCCGTCGTCGTCGTCGTCGTCGTCGTCGTCGCGAGGAGATGATGATGCGGCGCGGGGCCTTGAACGAGTCGTGCTCCACCAGTGCTGCTGGGTCGGGTGGGTGGTGCTTGGACCTCACGGGGATCCGCGACTTACGCCACCACCCGGCCTAGCTCCCGATATTACAATGGTCGACCCTCCCCCCGCGGAGGAGTGAGAGGAGGGGGAAGTTCCTCGTTTGAGCTTCAGTCGCAGGCGTCAGTGGTTCCCCGTTTCGTCGTTCCGGTGCGCCGGCGTGATCGTCTCCTGCGAATTTGTTCGCCCCCCACAGCGGCGAAAACCGCTTGGCGAGGGTACGGCTGCGTCTGGATCAGACCCCATAGCCGTCAGCACCGAGCACCGAGGGGGATGTTGGAGGAGGAGGCGGGCGAGGATGAATAGCAGCAGGCGGACGAGGAGGAGGAGGAGGAGGAGGAGGAGGAGGAGGAGGTAGAGGAGGAGGTAGAGGAGGAGGAGGAGGAGGTAGGGGGAAGGACAAAGACGGGGCTTGGAGCAAGTCCAGGATTCATCAACGATGCTGCAATACACCCTCCCGCCCCAGGTCCCCTCCTCACGAGTCCCCACAGGCAAACTCCTTACCACTGCGGGAAACGCCCCCCTTGAATTACGAGCGCCTGGTGGGCCCTGCCATTCAGGCGAGACCACGTTTTGTATAGGATCCAGTTTCCATCCGTTCGGCTAAGAGACGGAAGAGGCAGGATGATGTATGTCCAACAAAGTGTCCAGGGATAACCCAGTTTTGAAAACATATACCCTCCATCCGTGTACGCGTCGCACGTTGTCAAAGTTCTGGGCAAGTGCGGATGTCTCAAACGAGAGCCCCATATTGAACATCCGTCGCTTTCCTTCCGTGAAGCTGCTGCATACATTGGATCGTCGGGTCATAGAATTGCGGAGCTCGACAGCGAGAGCCGTGTATTGAGAACGAAGTGGTTTCCAACTGTGGAAAACATGTGAAACGAATGTGCGCGGCGCTAAGGCCGCTAAGGCGAGGGCCGCATTTTGAACAACACCCCTATCCCCCCCCTCCATCCGTAGATATTGTAAGCGTCGAGTTTGCGTGGTGCAAAGGTGAGAACCGTCTCTTGAAATCGACCCGCCTTGCAACAGTGCAAACGTTTAACACGACTGTGCGCGGCGCTAATGCGAAAGCCGCATTGCATTTGGGAAGCCACCATCCCTCCCTGCTTGTAATTGTTGTAGGCTGTTTAGCCTCAGCATGCTACTTCGCAAGGCAGTCTCAAGCGAACAACCCGCATCAGCCTACGGACACGTCTGGAGGGGCGACAGAGTATCGGGAGGAGGGATAGAGGACGAGGAGAGGCACGGAGGAGGATGTGAGGTGCGGAGGAGGAAGAGGCAGAGGGCGTGGGATTGACGGTCATTGACCTGTTGGTCCCATGGGACGATCACCGTCGCCGTCGGAGACGTTTTTAGACATTCTCGTGCACGCAGAGGCCTCCGGCGGCTGTCGTCAACGCTAGTCGGGAGAGCAGTCGCGGAGGAAGGAGTGGGGGAGGAGGAGGAAGTAATCTGAAGGAGGAGAAGAACGACGGGGATTAAATTCCTCTCGCCTGTTTCCGGGGGGGACCTCGCTACCCTGGCCTCCCGCGGGGGCCTCTTTCCGCCGTGGCTCTTCTCTCACCACCCCCCAAGAGGCAACGGCCCCCTGGGAGAGGCGGGATGGCTGCGCTCAGGAGGCACTCAGAAGCCAGCACCGTCACCGTCACGGGGATGGAATGGGATGGAGGGGGGTAAGGCAAGGTTGGGAGGGCAGGAAAAGAGGGGAAGAGCAGAGCGAGGGTTGTGCAGGACGGCGGGACTGTCGTCGTCGTTTGTCGTCGTCGTCGTCGTTGTAGTTGTCGTTGTCGACGACGGCGGCGGCGGCGGCGTCTGCGTCGGCGGCGTCGTCGTCGTCGCCGCGTGCGCCTGGATCGGCGCCTCTCGCCCGCTCGTCCCCCCCCCCCCCTTGTTGGGAGAGGAAAGATTCATGGTGTCGCGTCCAGGGGGATGGGCCAAGAGGAGGATGCATCGAGGGTCGAGTCTCGAGGCTCGAGGTTTTTGGGCCTGCTCGTCGGTTCCAGCGGTCGGGTCACGCTTGCGCTGGCGCCGCGGGGGAAGTTGGTGGAGGCCCTCGCGGCCGTGGTGCTCAGACGCAACGTAATGGGACAGGCTGAGGGGGGCGACGTGAGGGGCTGTCGGGCGTGGCTGGAGGTTTGTCGGACGTTCTCGGCGGTCATCATCGACGGAACCATCCCCGCCCCCATTGGGGCAGGGTAAGTCGGCTTTTCCAGCGTACCCCCTCTAGGGGGGGATAGGTGTTCCGAAACCCGAAGGAGACGGTACCCATCCTCACCTCAGGGTGGGTAGATCGCCCAGCGGGGCCCAGGTTTCTCTTGTTGGGATGGGATCGTTTTCCTCGTCCAGAGGCGGTCTTGCAACCTCGAGGCGCGTTTCCAGCAGTTGCGCCTCACCGAGAGCGTTCGGTGGATGCCAGGGTCGCCCCGAACTGCCGCATAGGAGCCGAGTTATGACACGACAGCCAGGGGGCGGCGCCAGGGGGAGCAGGCTCAGGAGGGGGCGCATCGACCCCCGATCGCCCTTCTCATCGCCGATCAGGGCCTGATACCCTCGCCCCGCCCACGACTCTGCGGATTCGCCATCGGGGGCCTACCACCGATCCATCGGCGACGTAGCGCCAGTTCAGGCTCCTCCGCAGGTCTGGCTGGCGGCCGGCGTCGTGGTGCCCCTGGACGCCGCCTGGCCGCGCGAGCGCCTGCTGTTCCTGCTCGCCGACGCCGCGGCGGAGGTCGCGACCTGCGGCCGTGCGCAGCGCGCGCGCCTTGACGGCCTCGCCGTACCACTGCTCTGCCACGAGGACCAGCGGACTTGGGCGCCGAGTGGCGGCGGCGGCGACATGGGGGGATAGGCATAGGGGGGATGCATCGATCCCCAATCGCCCATTGATCGCCGATAGGGGCCCCATGGCCCCAACCTGCCCAGGAGCGGGCGGATTCACCATCGGAGCCCCATCGCCGATCTATCGGCGATCTATCACCGATTCCAGGCCGATGTGTCCCCCCATGTGCCAGTCTCCCCCTTTTCGTTGTCCCCCACACGCGGCGGCGGCGACGACGAGAGGAGGGCGAGTTGAGACAACGGCAGTTGGCCTTCGGGGGCCCCCTCGTCGCCACGGCTGGACGCAGCTCGGGTCAGCTTCGGAGGAGAAGGAGGAGGAGGGGGAGGAGGAACAGGAGGGGGAGGAGGAGGAGGAGGAGGAGGAGGAGGAGGAGGAGGAGGAGGAGGAGGGGGAGGAGGGGGAGGAGGGGGGAGGGGAGGAGGGGGAGGAGGGGGGAGGAGGGAGGAGGAGGAGGAGGAGGAGGAGGAGGAGGAGGAGGGGGAGGAGGAGGAGGAGGAGGAGGAGGAGGAGGGGGAGGGAGGGAGGGAGGGAGGGAGGGAGGGAGGGAGGACTGACATGTTTAGCCGATTCGCGAAACCCTGAGCCCCATGCGTACGGAACAGATACTACACTTGATCAAACCTCTTGTTTGAATCACATGCTGCTACTGCTCTAACACCTGCTTGAAATATCAGTCTCATTATACTTTCTGAGAGGCTGTTGCGAATCAAAGCGTTGGAACACAACCCAAAATCTGTTAGTGGTGAACGGCGCTTTCACCAGCTTGAGAGAGAGAGAGAGAGAGAGAGAGTTAGGACAGGAGAGAGTCTGGGCGGCAGCGCTGGCAGGCCTCACAGTCCGTGAAGCTCAAGTACATCGTGCCGTAGATCATCTGGTCGATCATGTTTCTCTGCGGTTCGTCGGTGTCGTCAAGCTCGTAGTTGTACTTGTGGATGTACTCGAGGTCTGACTCCTGGTACTCGTCTGGCCGATGTGTTATACGTTTTGCTGTCGCCATTTTGGCCACTAGACTCATATCAATATATCCAGTTGTCAAAGGCCTCATTATCTGCTTAAACGTCCCTGGATTTGTCATTGCATCTGCCACCATAATCTCAGTAGGTATGTGCGTCATCCACCTGATACGTGTTGTGATTCTCTCACGTAGTGCCATCACTGGTAATGTATGCTGCTTATCTTGTGGCACTCCTTTCCGACCAGTCACTCGCTCGAACACGTCTTTGCAGTCCGCGAGGTGGTCGATGGGAAGCTCGTAGGCTCATGTCTCATTGATCTTCATCATTGTGCGTATCTGATCTTGCTGAGAGATGTTTTGGTCCATCTGCATATCCGTGATTCTCAATGCTATCATCTGTGTAGTGCTCACGACACTCAGCGCGCAGTTCGTCTCCCCATAATTGTTGAATGAGCCACGTTCTGTGAACAGTATGATAACATAGCCATTGGATGGCACAGTCCGCCGAGACACATCTTATCACGAATAATATCCGACTTCGTCTCAAACATCAGCGGCATGTCCTGCATCATCAAAATGAATTGGCCTTCTTGAGGATAGACACTCTTCTTTGTTGTACGATTTGTGCCACCGATCGCTCTCAGACAGTATGGCCCACGTAGTCGAGGAACGTGAAGTCCTAGAAGCTGATTGTCACTCTGTGCCTTCTTCAGAACAGCGTTCGCTCGCTCGAGGTGCATAACCTTTGGCTCGTTGTTGAAACCCTGCAGCTGCGTCACTTCCGTCAATATGTGCACGTTACATTGACAGAGAAACAACCTGCTGGTTAGGATACTCATGAAACCATGTGCATGCAGCGCTGAAGCTAGTTGGTCATCGTTCAGGCTCGGAACCTCACATGGCTTGATCTTCTTGAGGGGATCCAGCTGCTGTATCACAATACTATCACTGGCCAATCTGCTGTACTGAGCTCCATTGTGTGTGAAAGGTAACTTCTGTCGCTTGACTGCTCCGAACTTACGTTCGAGTAAACTTCGCAATACATTCAGAACTTGTTCTCGTGACTGTGAGAGAACATCGTCCACGTGTATAGAAAGGCAGGCCGCAAGCTTGTCCGTCATCGCTGCCAGGAGACTCTCTGAGACGCCACACTCTTGTGCTGTATGAGGATAAGGTCGTCGCAATGCGTCCAGGTCCTTCACCGTCCAGTATACGAAACTGTCGTCCCACAAACTTATCCGAGCCTCAAGATGGGAGACGGGGTTGAGAGTCAGTGCGATCTGCCGTCCACCAGTCCATACATGGGCTTAAGATGTTCCAAGAGGAAGAGACCGTAATCTACTGGCTGCACAGTCACTGGGCTGTTCTTGATGCCGGCCAGGTGACGCCAGACATTAGCCGGAGGATTGAGATTGACCTTTCGTACCGTGGTGCACGACAGCTTTAGCTCGCGCGATCGCTTCCTCATGTCTGCGAACGACAGACCTTGCAGGAAAGCGGTGGAGATATCCCAACTCTCCAGATCCGTGAGGTCATGACGCTGAGCCGCACTCACCACCAACTTCTGGCTGATTCTCGATGCCGTGCTAGAATTTCCGGAAAACCACGGCCGCATAGTCGACTCTTCACCTCCCGCATCTTCGTTTTCTGATTGAGCTTCCAACGCCGTGCCCAGACCGCATGAATCACATAATTCGAGTCCAGGCTCCTCGTGGCAGAACAAGCAAACACTGAGTGATCCACGAATGCTGTAAGCTCTGGTCGATCTTCTGCTTCGACCAGGTCCCTATTCTCGTGGATCTCCTGCTCGGTTAGGTTCCCGTCTGCTTGAGCCGCATAGGTCACAGCTTCGCCGATCTGCATGTCAAAGAGGAAGCACTCGCTGCGTCACCATGATCCTGAGATGACCCAAGCAGATAGAGATCTACTCCAGGGAGGATCGGCGCCTCGACCGATTGCGTCCGCTAAGTAGTTTGCCTGGCACTGCTGCTCAACAACCATTGTGACCGAGTCCATGAGATATGACTCGCGCATGCTGTTGAGATATTCTTCGTCGTCTGTCGTGAGATTCAAGCAGCTGGTCACGGCGTTGCGCCTGGCATAGAGATCTTGGCCCAGAATAGGTGGAGAGCCATTCTCAGGCATGTCCATGTGTACTGGCTATTCGATTGGGACTGGGTCTTCAGCTGGAAGATCCTACAGTTCGCTCCAGTCTTCAGAACTAAGGCCTTGATGATTGCGATCATCATCGAGAGGCAGAGAGGTACCGCCGTAGGGTCGCGAGGCCAGCTGCTCCATTGACCCAGAAGATTCAGGGGCCACACCATCATGAGGACGTTTAGGTGCCAGATATACTTCTGGAGGTGGAGGATCATGTTGCGCAGACTCCGGCCCGGGAATATCTGGCAGTGGGTCATTCCGAGCTCTCGAGAGAACCAGCGCGGATGCTGGCACGGGTCCAGGCACTGGTACTTCTGGAGAGTCCGGTCGATGTTCAGGCTGAGGAGCGGGGACTTCAGGCAGCTGTTCTCTGAGTGTTTTGGACACTTTAATCTCCGTCTGTTGTGCTGGTTGGGGTATTTGAACTTCTGGCGAGATGACGCTGGGCGCCTCCGACACGTTCATCTCCGCCTTTCTTTCGGGCGGCTGTGGTACCCTAAACGAATATGTCCTTGTCGTCTGCTCCTGTTGGGGTAGCGATGCATCAGAATCTACGCCGCTCATGTCCACAGGCATGCCAGGTTTGTGCATCCGCACTCGTCGTGGTGGATGAGCGCCCTCGACCGATATTGTTGGTCGTGCGCCTGATCCAGAAGATAGAGGTCGAAAGGAAGTATCACCTGATGACGATGGTGGTACTGATGTCGAAGAAGGTTGAGTGTTCGCTGGCGCCCCATGCAGTCTCACCTGCATTGGAGATCCATTAGTAGAAAGAGGAACCAGTTCCTGTGATGTTGTCGCCGTCGTCTTAGGTTCTTGCGTTGCCGATGCTGGCATGGGCTGCCAATGTTGACTGAGCTCTGTCGTGTTTGCTGAGGAAGATCGCGCAGGAGTTGCCGCTGGCCGCATCGCGTCCATGCCACGCGACCTGGACAGTGCATCCAAGAGAGACCGTCTCTCAGAGCCCGTCGTGGCGCTGACGTCGGGAGAGTCGGACATGCTGGAGTCTTCCCAGTCTCCATATCCAGGAAGTAGGCTGACCAGATCACGAATGTCCCGCTCGATGTCCCGCGTGCTTTTCGGTAGTACTTTTATGTTGTTGGGGTCGTTCGTGTCGGGCATTTCGTAGTCGTCCAGGCATGGATCAACTGGCAGTTCCGTGCGATACATGATAAAGAACGAAGTGTTGCCCCAGTCATCCTTGGAGAAGTCGCCGATGCTGATACCTTTGTGCGGCCGAACTCTTTGTGTTAGGTCGTGCCCGTGATCTGAGCGTGACCAAGTGGCGAGCAAACCGTGATAGATTCGATCGATAGCTGGCATCCGTCTGACTGAGGTGCCATATTCAAGACCATCCACACTCTTAAGGCGAAATACCCGCTGATAGATCTTTATGCACAAGGTCCAATGCATGAGAAGTCGAAGCTGCGCAACAGGCGGGGTGCAGCTCGTGGTAGTGCCGTCATGAACTTGCCGATCCTCGAGCATTGACAATAGGCCGTGCCGTCGACAAGGTCCATGAGCTTCTCGAGGTCAGGTACCTCCTCAGATTCGCCCAGCAAGTAGGCGTAGTGGTTCCTGTCTTCCAGCTTGATCTTCCCAAGTTTGATGGCATGTCACCGACTATGTCTTGTTGGCAGGATATGCGAAATACCAGTCCAGACCACGGTTCCAGTACCCTGAGAGAGTTTGACTAGCTCAGCTGGTCCTCGCCGTCCTGATTGACCCTTCCGCGCTGGCACGCGATAAATGTCAACAGGCCCTCCTGGTTGAAGCCGCTGTCCTGGAGGTGTCTGTTGCTGTCGAGTTCGACTGCATCGTGCGATGCGCTCCTCTACGAGAC